CCGGCATCCGAGCATGAACGGTACACCTAAGTTAGGGACCACTTCGAACACGTACCACATCCACGTCCCGCCCAAGGAAAAGTAGACCGCTGTCCAGCCCCAGATTTTCTGTTTACCCCCGCAACTGCCATTTATGTCAGGTTTGTCCTTATATTGCTGGATCCCATACGTGAGCTCACGCGCGCACAATGTCTTAAAAAAGTGCTCGTCTATAAAAGCTCGGTTACAACAAGAATCCCATAGCCCAGCGGCTACAATATCCCTGTCATTCCTGGAAAATTTAGCTGGCACCCAGGTGAGAGATGTGAACATCCTCTTTGTGGGTGGCTGCAGCATTCCTTGCTGCTTCATTGTTTTCTCGATTACTTTCATTGACGTAGAGACATCCTCTCTGGCCAAGGTCTTAGCCATGTGGATGTCGTCAGAAACCCAAGTGTTGGCGACTTCCGGTAGGGAGTCCCTTTCAAATGTGGTTCTGTTTTTGTAATCGAAAACTCCGTGTTGCTTGCACCACACACAAGTTGGCTGACGACACGGGTCTACGCATAATCTGATGTCCTTTGCTAGAGGTCCATGAGAGCAGTACTTGGAAAACACAATATCTTTTCGCTTGGGTCTTAGGTCCTCTCCTCCGGACTGTAAGCTTCTCTCGAGTGCTCTAGCTGGTCTGATTTCTACTCCGTTCATCGTAACCAGCGTCACCACCCAAGTCCAAGGTCCGCGCGTTTCTTTGGATTCTTCCGGCCATACGTAGCTTACCATGTCACCTACCTGGATCCTGGTGTCCGGATTGTCATCATAGCGCGGAGCTGGGCCCATGAGAGTTTGCTTTCCGGGCACTTTCATGTTTGTTACTGGTTGTGTTCTCTGGCAGTAGGTCTCTGCTGGTTCCTCTTCCTCTAATTTCGGGCGCTGCTTTCCGGGCACTTTCATGTTTGTGACTGGTTGTGTTCTCTGGCAGTAGGTCTCTGCTGGTTCCTCTTCCTCTAATTTCGGGCGCCTCTCCTGTGACTCTGCCAATCCTTGTGCTGTTTCTAATTGACTCGCGTCTTCAACAACAATTTCAGCAGGTAACGGAGCTACCTTGGCAGGTAATGGAGCGTCACGACTAAGGGTCACGCCCCAGCCTTGCGCTGGCTGGCTCCGGCTCCACCCGGGTTCTCCTGGAGTGTCCCACCCATCGCGGGTCCCCCCTGAAAAATTCGAGTGCGACCTCGCACGTTTTCTCTGACGGCGACTAGGCTCGTCTCTGCCACGCTTGGCTGCTCTCGTAATAGGCGGACTGAAATTCCGACGCACCCTCTTCTTCAATACAGAGGAGTATCGGATGCCATTTGCATGCGAGTCCTTTTGCATTTCTTGAAGAAGTCGGTATAGGCAACAATGCAATTTTAATGGTGCTGGTTCTTCTTCAAGTGGTTCTATTGTTGCTGGTAGTTTTGACGGTACTGGTTCTTCTTCAAGTAGTCGGTCATGAATTGGGAGGAAACTAAACGCCTTTGGCGATAAGATACAATCTGTGAATGGCGAGCTGTTGTCGCATGTGCGACTAGTCCGCCTTTTTCTTCAAGACAATGTAGATAGGCATGGCAACAGCCGCAATAGGGATGCCGAAGCACAGACTGAATAGAACAAGTGTGACAAACAAAAAATACGCCAAGTGCATTTCCGGTTTGGATTGAAGCGTCCACCCATAAAGATGAAATATTAAAAAAGGGTATCCGTCTTCTCCACCAGTACAAAATAGATTCCTCCAAAGCCACCATGGCATCTTCGCAGCTCGATAGCTTCTATACGGCAATATCCACGTAATTCGCGAATCTCTGTCATGGCTAACAAATTGCAAAAAGTTTGCAAGATGCTGCGGGACAGTACGAGAGATAATAGTGCCATCAAAATTGTCGGGTTCACCGACGGAGAACTTAAATGTTTTTTTTACCATCCATCCAAGAGTAAAAACATCATCCCCTTGATTAAAAACCCAATTCTTACATCTTGTAATTGGTTTGCGGTCGTAGATGTAGCCGTCTACTTCCGCGAGGTCGGATTCACTGACGCAAATCAAATCGAGCTTTTCCTCATCAAGAATGGTGCCGTAATACGACTGAAACATGGCCTGGCTGCTGCTATGGCCATAGTCGGCTACATTACGGGCGGTCGTGGAAAACCGCCAGCTTGGTGAAATATCTGCCACAAAGGCGGATGGCCTTAGCGTGCTCTCAGGGATGATTCGAGAGACGTCTCCAACGACCATCACCATCTTGTAGAAAGACGTCATGTGGGAGTGAATTTTGTTTCGAACCAGCTCCCCGTTGAATGGCATCTTCATATTGCCCCATGCAAAACTATCGAAGTCTATGGGCGCAGGGAAGGTATTAACATAGGTCTGCTGGTTGTACAAGTCCTGGCGTCCAGGCACCCCAGCCCACAGGGCTGAAGATATCAGCTGAATGAACGCTTCGCTATCGTCTTTATACTGCCAGAGAACGCCAACATTTAAGTACCATTCCATGGGTGCAGATCCTCGAGGACGGACGTCGTTGATTTCACCTTCCAAATCAATGGGCTCAGTCAGATGACGAGCATAACCCTCTGGGTAGTCTTCAAACAGGCATCCAACTCCCCCTTCGTCATCTCGACACTCATAGTCTCCATGCCATTCCATCGCCCAGCTCCAGTTGTAGCACGGCTTTGGAGTGTTTAAACCACAGAAGTACTCTGCTTGTCTCGGGCGCACTGCTGGTTGCATTGCCAAGTGGATGTGGTGCACGTGAATCGGGGGATACGATAGAGGCCGGCCAACGGCATCAGTTACGACAATTGAATTTGCGTGTATCAAGATACCGTCATTCCGATCGATTAATTTGGATCTGAGTTCAAAGACATCCGCCCAGCCGATCTGCCACCAATCGTACCCCCCCGTGCTGAGGAGTGGGCCCAACTTCTCAGTAGACCATGTGCTGCCTGATTCTGAGCCAAGTTCGCAAGTGCTGAACATGGGTTTCTTTCCGAAATTATTGTAGTGCGATCCGCTCTTAAGCTTACTCTCGAAAGGATACAACCCGTCATTCTCTGGAACCAAGTCATGATTCCGAAATTTCTGGAAGTCAAGAGTAGTTTCGTAGTAGTTTATCGTCGCAAGCTGTTTTGCCAAATGGAACGGCTGAGGTGCCCCGTAATTCCGACATTCATCATGGTATGTGCGAGCACGTGCTGAAACAGGCCGATTTTGGTTAGGATAGAAAATCCCAGGCACGGCACCAAAATCGTTCCCATACATGGAGTCGTCCAACTGAGATGATACACGCATATTTTTGTCGACGAATTCTGGTAGTTCTCCGCGTGCCATCCTTGGACAACCCAGTATGTGTATCAGCCACGCCATCTTTGAGCTCATTAGGTAATCTCGATTGCAGTGGCGGAACTCAAGGACGCTGCCGGCGGTCCGACCAGGCCAGCGCGGCGCTATGATCGAGAGCGAAGGCCCCCCTGGCCCGACGGATTCCTCGTTGAGGCTGAGACTCGTACAGGTAATCTAGCCACAGAGATCTCAGCTTCTATGAACCGTCAAAATTACTTTGCAATTCTGCGCCACGATGAAGGAAGCGACGCTTTCCGAGACCGTCGCGTGCGTACGCGCGCGTTCTTCGAATAACGCTGGTCATAACAGGTATCTACGCTCTCCCGCAATTCACCATGCCATCTCGCTCCTTGGTCCCGAATTTAACTTTGTCGATTACCTCGATGGCGAAAACGCGTTCGTTTGCGGCGACGTTTTTACGTGTTTGAGCTTGACCGGCGTCGGGCGCAGGCTATTTCAAGACATCGCCGCCAAATTCAGTAAAGACGTGCCGGAGGGAGAAGAAACAGATGAGGACGAAGAAGGAGAAACTGAGGAAGAAGGAGAGAGTGAAGAAGAGGAGGAGGAAGTGAAGTCCGAAGAACACGAACGATGAGGTGGCGTATCAAGCAAGAGTGGCGGTCGACGGCGTGTTCTCTGTAAATGTGCGGGTAAGGTCTGGTGGGGCGTTCTTCGAATCGTGAAATGCGAAGATTGTTGCTCTCAGCGCGGTACGTTCGGTGGGTATGAGGCTTGGGGGTTGAGCGGGTCTTTTTGTGCCGTGTAAAGGCGGCTGTGCCGTGTAAGGATGAGTGGAGTGTATGTAGAGCAAAGAGGGGTGAAATTAGACGGTGAGAGAATGGTGGGACATGAAACCGGTGTGCATCAGAGAATAGTGATTAGCCTAGCGACAGAAAAAGAACCACGACGTCGCCTTCTTCTGAAGTTCCGCAATGAGTCGAGTGCTGCGATGTCACTTGTGGCGCGGCGCGGCACTGCGACGCGATTCTTGGCGGCATGGAAGAGGTTCAAACCACGCCATGTCAATGAGGGATTCATTTATAAATAAACGAGGAATTGTTCGAGGACGATGCTTACTCCAGGAACGGACCCCGGATGTACGGCTTCTGGTCCTGCTGCTCGCCTCGAGCGCGCGTGCTCTGGCATCAGAGCCGCCGCATAACGGGTGTCAGCTGGTGATGATATTGGCGGGCATGCCATGGGCTGGCAGCACTGGGAACAAAAAGCTTGTGAAAGCCGTTGGTAAAATTGCACCTAGAGGTCACGCACGTGTCTTATTGGGCCTACCTGACGCACGTTAGCATGAATTCCAGAGACGCCGAGCTCTGGTACAAAAGCGAAGCGAATTCTCTTGGGTCGCTTGACGCGAAACCAACCGTGCTGTTCAAGACGCATGAACTCACCGAAGAGCCCATGAAGCTTTGCCAGCGCGCCATCGCTTTCACCAGTCATCGAAGTCTCGACGACAAATTGCGATCAGCGGCTGGGGCCGGGTGGATGCCCGCGCGAGCGACCAATTTTGCGACCATTAGAACGTGGGCGACAGCGTACCGACGATGGAAACTCTGGGGCGCAATCGACGTAAATTACAATGAGGCACTGAAGAATCCCTCGGCTGCGTTCCGTGTCATCATCGACCACGTTGCATTCGTGATGAACGTCAAGCCGTCAGAGATCGACAAGCTGGGGCCAATAAGGGCACCCTCGATTGGCGAAGCCAACCCAGGAATTCCATCGTCTGCGTCAAAATCTACTGTTAGCGAGGAAGATATCCTGCAGGAGGTCACAAAGGCGAAAGAGCAGCTGGCTTCCGAGCGTCTTTCCAGTCTCGGGCTCGGCTGGTGTGTGTAATTTGAGCTTAATTTTGAGTCACGTTACTGGTCGGGCATTGCCAAGTGATTCGATCTGAGCATGGTGAAACATGAATGATGTCGGAATCGAGCTGAAGTATGCGGGGACAACCGATTGATCAACTGGACGACGCGAAGTTGGGCGTCACCGCGCACAACAGGGCAAAAGTTAACATCAATACTTGCCTATGGGAGCGTGTCGCATCACTGGGAGAAAGACCAGGAGGCAAGCCGAACCCCGACCTGGCATTCAACGTGACGATTTGGAGGCCTGGTTTCAGCATCCCGCTGAGCAGATTCCCATATTTGGACCTTGATGACCTGGGCGGGCTAGCTGGGAGATGCACGTCTGCTACAGGGAGAACCGGAAATCTCGAGCCCGCCGGCGAGTTCCTGGCACCGATTTTCCGCGCACCAGGTTTCGATTAGATGTTCATCGCAATCCCAGCGGTTATACAGTGCGATAGTAATTTCAAAACTCCGCCCAATGAATGTCCCCATCAAGACACGCAGCCGCTGCGGCAGTCCGACACCCCGAGTACGCCCAAGTAGAATTTAATCAAAGTTTACCACCCCGTAGCTCGAGGTGTGACCTTTACCAGTCACTTAGTCACGGTGGCATGTTGGAGGTGCCCATACTAGTAAGGATTCTAGTAGGCGAGCTGGATTCAAACGAGAAAATTTCTTTTCAAGCAACAGCGGAACTGAGAAGAAACAAGCCAAAGCCAAGACGATCGTTGCCAGAACCCCATCCATGAGGAGAACAAATCTATGCATGATCCGACACTAACGATGGTTGAACGATATCTGACGCTGCGTTTGGCATGTTCCGGGCCACGGGAGGAGAAATTGAGAGGACTTCGCGGTAGGACGTCGGGGTCGGCGGTCCTTAAAAATTACTCCATGTCGTGCGAGGCGAAGCAGGGGCCGAAGACGCTCGTACGGGCGCTCCCGCGGCGCTGAGGGGACGGAGATGAGGGATCTTAGTTTCTGCGGATTCCCCCAGGGCATGGACTGAAGTTTCGGGACGTCCGACCCCGAGTTCCTACTGCGAAGTACTCTCATAATCTCCCCTCGAGACTCGCAACATACCAAACTCAGAGTCAAAAATCGTTCGAACATCGTACTGCAAGCGTTTGTGGTCCACAACTCGCTTAGGATACCTAGGATATGCGTCGCATCATGCATAGGTTTATTCAGCGAATGTCCAAAGCGAGCTCGAGCGAAGTGGAACTCAACACGAAAGTCGCGGAGCTAGAACGACGCCTCGAGAACCTCGGGGCGCCTGTAAACAGGGTGCTAATCATAACCTCAGTCATCCCGATGCCTGAAATAGCCTTCTCCACTGCAAACGCTTTGACCGTAATGTTATAGGTGCCGGCGGTAACGGACTTGATTCCGCTTGCCAGCATCCTGATGTACTGCTGCTGGTCTGCCTCTCTGGCGCCACCGAAGAAACGCGAAAGCATGGGAAACTGCGCAATACCCCACGACTGCCCTCTAATACGAATGTTCGTCAAAAATATAAAATTACTACAATCTGGGTCATTCACGGAACCACCAGTACCGGGTGGTCCATGGCGAGTAGCTCTGGGATTGTTGTTCTTGTTCAGCAAGAGACTTAGCGTCACCACTCCGCGTCGTAAAATTGCTACCCCCTCGTGGAGGAACTTGAAAGGTAAAGCATCGCATATCCTTTCTGCGGCGCGTCAAGAATGCCCGACCTCAAGCAACACAAGAGAGTGACATGTTACTCCACAGCGACCTTGTCGCTGAGACCCGGAGAAGAGCGGGTGATCAAAGTGAAATTCAGTGCGAAAATCCCTGAAGGCCAGTGGGTTGACGATCAATACGACTGTGCTATCAAGGGTGAATGGGCGGACAACCCCCACACTGATGACCCGGAAAATCACCGCAATGGAATGGTCTTAGTAGGAAGGAGTAGAACTGACATCGGAGGATTCATGTGGGAAGGAGACGGTACGCGTTATGGACAGACTTACGTCAAGAATACGCACCAGAACTTACCTATCAGGATTGAACGCGGACAGGAACTAGGAGAAACCAATGTCATTAGCGGAGTGGTCACAGGTTCGGCAGACAGCCGCACCGGGGAAGTATTTCATTTGGACGACGACGCTACGAAACAAGTGGCAGAAAGAGCCTCTAGTGTCGAGCATAAGTTCTCCAAGTTGAAATGGCTCCCCCTGACCTTTATCCAAGTAATAGTATTTTATAGTGGAATCGGTGGATTCGATAAGGGGTTGCAGAGAGCTTGGGAAAAGCATGGGGCGGCGTTCAAAGTCGTCTTAGCCATAGACAACTGCGAGCTCAGCAACGAGATTCACCGAAACACTTTCCCAGGAGTGACTGTTGTAAATCACATACTGGGCAAATCA